AGAGAGAGAGAAACCCCCAGAGGCAAGGGAAGCAGAGTGGGGAGGGAGAGGAGCTCCAGAGTCCTAGGGGTCCTGGAAAGACCCCTTTCCTTTAGAGAAGGCAACCCCGAGGCCCAGAGAGAGAGAGAAGCACCACACCCCCTCATCCCAGGCCACACAGATGAGCTAGCAGGCAGGGGGTGGAGCACCCCTGGGATGGGCCAGCATGGGTCACTTAGCTTGAGTCTTGGGAGGTACCTGCTTGTTAGGTTTGATGTTATTACCATCTTCTAGGTCAGCCACCGCGCCACTTGGGGCAACATGGATGGGCGTCACGCCCAGCGAGCGAGCAGGTGGGCTAGCGCTGGGTTGCCAGGCCTGGGGCGAGAATGGGAAGAGTTGTGGAAGGGGGAGGAGACACAGGAGGGCAGCTGGGACAGACCCAGACCTGCAGGCGAGTGACACAGCCGAAGAGTTCACGCACGCATAGCCTTTACGAAGGAGCTGGAAGTGAGTTAGTCCCACTCCTGTTCTGTTCCCAAACGAGTGCAGAAATGCGGGTGCAGCCCAAGGCGGAGCTCCAGCCCCAGCTCCGTTTTTTGGGGTCCTCAGGGCAAAGGCTAGCCCTGGGGGTGGGAGTGGCGCTGTCTGTGGTGCTGACCAGTCCCACCTCCACCTGCAGAGCTTGCAGGTCGGGGGCTGAAAAGAACGCTAAGTTCTTTCTGTCCATCCGCCCATCCATCTAGCCATCCATCCTGAGCCCTGGTGGCACAGCAGTTATGTGATGGCTGCTAACCGTAAGGTCAGCAGTTGGAAACCACCACCTTGCTCCTCAGGAGTAAGACAGGGCTTTCTACTCCCATAAAGAGTATCAGTCTCAGAAAACACGGGGACAGTTCAGGTGTACCCTGTTCTAAAGGGTCGCTATGAGTCAGCATCAACTCTACGGTAGTGAGGAAGTCATCCATCCATCCATCCATCCATCCATCCATCCATCCATCATCCATCCTCTTTCAATTAAACCCGAAGGCCAGGGAACCATGCACGGCAGAGCTGGAAGCACACATCTTTACCAATGAGCAAACCAAGGGTCAGAAGAGGAAAGGGACCTGCTGAATGCCACACGGAATGTCTGTGGGCGATCCGGGACTGCGAGCGGGAAATGCTGTTCGCTTCCACACGCTGCAGAGGTTGCTCTGGGGCCCGGGGAACTGCCTGGCTGGTGTACGGATCTTGATACGGATGTTGGTTCGGAAGAGCTGCAAGCGCAGAAAGTGACCTCCTTCCCTCTTCCTGGGGCTGGGTGCTCCGTGAGCACGTGTGTTGCCCGCACAGTTGCCCTTCGATCTCGGTGTGTGCAGGCCTGTGTGAGCTGTGTGCGTACGTATACAGTGTGTGCCTGGCAGTGTGACCTTGGCAGATGTCCATGCACGTGGGTGTGCCGATACTTGTATTTTTCCTCTCCTCTTCTTTGCAAGGTTCCTGGGGGCTCCGGCAAAGGAGCCCTGGCAGTGCAGTGGGGCAAGTGCTGGGTTCGAGGTAGTTTGGAACCACTAGTTGCTCGGTGTGGGGGAGACGAGACAGCAAGCTTCTATAGGGATTTGCAGCCTTGGAAACCACAGGGGCCAGTTCGACTCTGTGCTACAGGGACCGACTCAACAGCAGAGGGTTGGAGATTTGGGGGCTCTAGTCTCTGACGTGCCTCTCTTGATGCTTGATTTAGGAAACTTCCCGTCCTCCTCATCCCCTCCGGAGGCAGCCCCAGTCACTCCCGGAGTGCCCGCCTCTTGGGCTTAGGACTCTGAGTGGCTCCTACCTGAGGGGATGCAGCCAGCCAAGGTGGCTGTGGGGGAGGTTCTCGGAGGAGGTGGCATTTGAATCGACCTTGAAGGCCTCTTTGAGGATGAGGTATGGAGTGGCCCTGCTCAGCTACAGCTCCTGTGCCCAGCGTCCTCCACTCCTGGGGTAGGCGGTAGATGGACAGAAGGATGCCAAGCAGGGAGCCCCCCAGGGGCTTCGCCAGCCCTGTCTGCATCAAGGCCACTCTAGCCGAGGACTTGAAAGCCCATGGCTCAAATGCCCTTTCTCACTCCCCCTTGCCACTCTTACCCCGGCCTGGCCTCAAGAAGCACAGGAAACGGAGCAATCAGAACAAAGGCCACACGGGCACCCACCTATTCCAGGAAAGGGCAGGCTGGGGCATCCTCCAATTGAAATAAAGGACAGTGGAGGAGCCCACCAATCAGAAGAAAGGACACACTGTTGTTCTCTCCAAGCCCCCTGGGGAGGGAGCAGCGGAGAGGCATAGGGCAAAAGCCAGGCTTGGGGCTGGAGAGCCAGACATGGGTTGGGTTCTGGCCCTGGCCCTGGCCCAACTGGCTGGTTGACCGAGATGGGCCCTCGTGGTGCCTCAGTTTCCTCACCTGTCAAATGGGGAGACTTGGCTGTCCCAGGCCCGTGACTTTGAAAATTCCCCACGTTCATCAAAGCACACCCACCATTGCCTTAGCCTCTGTCCTCCAGCTTTCCCAGCACACACACAAAAGGGCAGGGCCTCTCAGGGGTCAGCTTGCCAACTTCTCAGGGGTCAGCTTGCCAACTTCCTTGCCTCCAGCTATTGGCTTAAATCAGCGCCACATTTTGGGCTTGTACCCAGGGAGTCTCAGTCTCAGGAGCTTGACTCACGCGGGATTGATTTTGGGATTCTCTCAAGCACTGGTCCTGCCTCCCTCCTTGAGTCGGAAGGACGGATCTGGGAAAGTCATGCTGGCATATGGGCACACAGGTGTGCACAGGTGTTACCCGACAGCCCTTGCCCTCAAGTCTCCTAGGATAGAGCTGCACCCCTGAGAACCTGAGTGTATGTGTGTGTCTACAAGGTGTCCACAGGCATGCTGGGGTGTTTCTGCAGGAACGGAAGGTTCCTGGCTGTGTGGCTGCAGGTGTGTGAACTGGGGAGGGGCGCCCCTGAGTCAGAGGACAGGGGATCCAGCTTGGTGTTGGCAGCTTCCGGTGTCTGAAGGCAGAGATCACCCCCGAGAACAGAGATGTCTCTGCTCACCAGTGTACCCCTTTCATGAGTCACCTCCTCTGCATACCTCCAGCGAGGTTGGGGGTTGGGGAGAACAATGCAAGCCCCCTGCTGCCCGTCTTCTGGCTGCATAGGATTGGGCTGACCCAGGGAAGGAAGTGCAGGCAAAAAGTGGAATTTCACCCAAGGGTGAAATCTGGAGCTGAAGCTTAAGCCACAGTGCAGCACTCCCCCTGCAGCACCTCAGCCAAACGGACACCCGTCCCTTGTACTCCCTCAGCGACAAGGAGCTCATTCCCCCTCTCTCCTGTCCTCTCTGCCTTCGTCTGCCTGGAAGAAGGGCCTGCATCTCACAGGGCCGAGGTCAGCCTCCAGGGGCATCCTGTAGGTCCCCAGGCTATCCCCAGGGGCACAGAGTCCAGCCTCCCCCCCTGGGAGGGTTGCGACTCTGAGTCTGCTCCATTTTGGGGGTCACCCCCAGTTTCACAGCCTCAGTCTCATGCAGGTCTGGGTTTCCAGTGCTCCCCTTTCACGAGTCACCTCCTCTGCATACGTCCCCTCTTGTCCTCACCTGGGACATGACAGACGGGGTAGGGTCTGACCAGATGAGACGTGTGTGTGTGTGTGTGTGTGTGTGTGTGTGTGTGTGTGAGAGAGAGAGAGAGAGAGAGAACTGTCAGCTCCCTTGTCTGGGGGAACAGATTCCTACTAACATGGAAGAGCCTGGTGGGGTAGGGGTTGTGTGCTGTGCTGCCAACCACGAGGTCTGCAGTTGGAAACCACCAGCTTTCTACTCCCTTCAAGAGTCAGTCTGGAAACCTCACAGGGGGGCTCTGGGTTCGCATTGACTCCACGGCAGGAAGCTTGTTCATTTCCGTTTACGAACGTGGTCTGAAGTTTCGGTGCTTCACCTGTCTACCAGCCCTGCTTACGCTGCCGGCTTGCGCTGAGTGTGCGGTCCTCCGGACTTCTCGGCCACAGATGCTTTCCGCATGCATGGGGACCACGGCAGGTCTCCTTCATCCCGCTTTGCTTTTGGAGCACAAACCTGGCCCTCCATGGGGAGGACACCAGGAAGGACATCTCAGGGCCACTGGAGGGCGAGGCTGGGCAGACGGCAGTGTGAGTCACGATCCCGCCTTGGCTCCGGGTCCTCTGTTCCGTTACCTTTCTCTTTGATCCGTCTGACTCCGGCCAGATTAATAGAGCGTGAAGCTGGGGCCTTTGTTGTCTCTGTTCCGGCCCTCCAAGGACACGAGGCCTGTTCCTGGTACACGGTCAAGGCTGCCTTTTCCTTGCTCTCCTCCGGGTCGGGGTTGGCTCGGCTGTGTTTCTCTCACCTCTCGGGCTCACGCACCCCTTGGGCATGTGCTCTTCCAAGACTGCTCCTCACTAGGGTGGGAAATGAGGTGGCGTGTGGCCCCGTCCCTTCTGGGGCCGGCTGGGTTCCAGCATCAGCGAGCATGGAGCTGACCCTTGCTCCACGAGGCACTTTGATTGCTCAGTGTCATCCTGTCTTCATAGCAGCTTGTCAAGAGGACAGCCTCCGTTGTCCCCAATTTATAACCAAGAAGGCTGGCCGAGGTTCAGGGACTTGCCCAAGATGCAGTCTGTGAAGATACAGTGGAGCTAGAATTCAGATTGGCCTGTGTTGCTGCCTTTGGCCCCAGAGGCTTATGCTTGGCTACCTACCATGCCAGTGTCTGGCCTCAGATAGAGGACATGACGCCCGCCACCGTTGTAGGCTCTCCCTCTTGGCTCACCATGAAGTGAGGCCTCTGCCGAGCTCTGCTTTCCACGCCTGGAGGCTGGAGTAGAAGCTGCTCTTCCAGCCCAGCCATCCTGTGGCTCTGAGGTGAAAGCCACAGTATTGGAGGGTCTGAAAGCGCCGGGCTCTGGGGCAAGCTGCGGGTTCTCTGGGCAGATGGGCTGCCACAGGGGTCTCTGGTCTGCCCGGTGATGCCCCTCACGATCCTCTTTTCTTTTCCAGGATGCTTTGCTGAGCCTGGGCTCCGCCATCGACGTCGTGGGCTTGCAGCGGGCTGTCAGGGAGGCCCTGTCCGCTGTGCTCCCCAGAGTGGTAGGTGCTTGCCCTTGCTCCATACTTGCCAAACTTCAGCCAGACCTTGTTTGGCTTGGTGCTGGGCTCACACAGGGTCCGGGGAGAAAAGAAAGGAATTACATAGGGAAGTGAAGAGTTTGAGGAGGCTGCCTGGAGGAGGAGGAGGGGGGGGGGAGGAGGGAGAGGAAGAGGAGGATGAAGCAAAGTCCCAAAGAATGAATTTACACAGTAATCTTGGAATGCCTGGGTCAGAGGAGCCTTAGCGGTGAACAGGGAACACCACGTCTTAGAGGTGGAAAGGCTTCACACAGCATATCACAGAGAGGACAAGGTGGAGTCAGGGGCTTTTGGGAATCTGTGCTGCAGGAGGGGGGGACTTCTGGTGCGAACAGTCTGGAACATGCTGGAATGAGGCCCAGCCTTCATGAATGGGTCTGCCCGGGGCTAAACATATTCAGCCTGGAGACAGGGGACTGGCTAAGATGATCTCCAGCAACCTTTAACTTTCCTTCTGGAAGAGATCACATCACTCACAGGATCGGGACAGGTAGAGGGTGGTGATCACAGCTGCCTGGGGCCACCTGCCTCCCCTTCAGCTACCGGAGGCCATCCGCCATCCCAGCTCCACTGGCCACTGCTCACCCCTTAGGTTGGAGGGTGAATGAACTGGCCTTTGAGGTCCAATGCATTAAGGGTCTCAGTTGTACTAGACAGAGGGAAGCAGGGGCTAAGAGAGCCTGGGAGGTCACCGAGCCAGCCGAAGGGGCATGGAGGGCTTCCTGGAGGAGGAGGCGCCCATAGGGAGTTCCTATCGCCTGAGAGGTCCCCCCTCTTACTCTAGACACCAGCCAAGGGCAGCCGCTGCCCCGGGGAACACAACCAATTCAGAATGTGAGTCTTCTCCCTGCCAGAACCCATTGTCCCTGATCTGCTTGATGAATAAACCACCGGAGGCCCAGAGAGGGAGGGTGCTTCCCTCAAGGTCACACAGCATGACAGACAAACAGGGCCAGCTTTGTACCTAAGCACTCCCCAGTCTGCCTTCCTTAAAGCCTCCTAGAAGTTCAGAGCCCAAGAGGAGGGCGAATGAGTGAGCTTTATTGAGCGTGAAATTGGTAGGAAGTGGGTGGTGTGTTGGCACCCAAAAATAAATCCTCCGGGAGAGGGTTGGAAGTGAGGCAACATCTGGCCCCAGTGCGGGCACATCTGGAAAGGGAGGGTGAAGAGATGGTGGGCCAGCCCCTCCAGGGCTGCCCCAGCCCCTTGGTGACTCCTGAGCCAGCCATGGGAAGTGGGCAGGGGAAGGCAACCGGCCACATCTTTACAGCACAGATGCTCCATGTTGGGTTAATCATCCCCCCAAATCTTGGGCTTGGGGGACGACTATGGTTGAGGCAATGGGAGTTCCCTGGGGTGGTGGGAACTGGCTTCCAGGCCCGCCTGAGAGACCTGTGTGGCTAACCCAGCCCTGACCTTGGGGAGCCCCAGCTCCATTGCAAGGAAAGACTCAGGCTCCCAGCAGGGTCTGCTGGGCTTCTAGCAAGGGATGGGGGAGGGCCGGGGAGCTGGCACCTGGCTCCCTCATCAGCACCCATTGTGGCAGGCAGCCCCGAATGCAGATGGCGCTCGTGTGTCTGAAACGGTCCCCTCCCTCTCGCCAACAAACAAAGCTAATTTTAACCCAGAGGCCTGAGAGTGAGGGGGTGGGAGACAGAATGGCTTCTCGGAAGTGAGGATCCCTGCCCCTCACCCCTCCTCGGAGAGG